GGCGGCTGGAGGCTGAGCATCTTAACAGGGAGTGTCAGGGTTGGGACCCCCCAGAAAACGTGGGCGCCCAGGCAGCCCCTGCCCCGAGGAAAAGTTTGGCCTGACACCTCCCAGCCGCCTCCAGAGGGGGGACTACAACTCTCGTGGTGCTCGGACAGCTGGGCACTGTAGTCCAACGCATCTGGGAAGCACGAGGTGGGGAGGAGGGCTGCCGAAGCGCCCTTCGATGGGCGGAAAGCGCCCCCCCCGCCTGCGCTGGGGTACACAAATGACCCCCCGCCTCATTCATTAAGAGGAGAGAGGTAATTCAACAGATAAAGCCTCCCGCTTCACCCCCACCGTACCTGGCAAGACGCGCGGGGCTCACCCCCCCTTCGGAACCTCAGCGGCTTTGCCCCGCCTCCTGCTCTCACCCAATCAGGAGGAAGCGGCGCGCACTTCCGCCTCCTCTCCCCCGCCGGCCGTGCTTCGCTTCATCTTTGCTCCGGGGCCAACGCCGGGCCTCGGGTTCTTCTTTTGCGCGTGCGCCCTAGGCTGCGAAACTTTCTCTCGCGATCCCCCTCGGCTCCTTCGAACGACAGCCTGAAGTGGGGCCTGGATCCAGTCTCTCCCTCTTCACCCTCTCCCTCGGCTCCTTCCTCGGAGACAAACATCCGGACGCCGCACCAGGTGGCAGTAAGCAGAGTTTTCTAGGTTTTGGTGGGCGCCATTCCGTGGCCGCCCGGATTTTGCAGCCAGCTAGCATAAGCTTACCTTAAGAGGCCAGGGAAAATACAACCGCAATCTATTTCAGGTTTCCGTTTGACTGCTGACTTATGCGGGGCAAAGGCCTTAATTAGAGAGTTTTCTCCAGCCTGATCCTGCCAGGGAGATATGGGAGCGGTCGTTCAGTCCAGTTAAAGGTTTATGTAAGGCAGTGTTTCTCTCTCTCTGTTTTTTGAAATATTTTTTCTTAAAAGATTTTAAATAGATTTTAAAAACGACAGAAACATAAAAAAAAGTAGGAAAAGAAAGAAAATATAAAAGGATAAAAGAAAAAGTGAAAGAAAAGAAAAAGGAAAGAAAAAGATATCTACAGAAGCGACTTCCGATTTTTTTTGTGCAGTTACAAACATAGCAATTATCACCCCCACCCTCCCAGATTACCTTCCCTTCTTCCCATAGACAAACCTTTTTAATCAATAAATCCGGAAGTCACCAGTTCATTTTTGTCCATTTTCAGCAAAAAGCCCATAAAGGGTTTCCAATCTGTTATAAAAGTAATTATAGTTCCCCCCTTAATCAAGCAAGTCGATTTAACCATTTCTGCAGACTCAGTCATCTGTAAGGCAGGGTCTCTCCACCTGGGCCATTTTAAGGTGGGTGGACTTCAACTCCCAGAATTCCCCAGCCAGTCCACCCATCTTAAAGTGGCCCAGGTGGAGAAGCACTGATATAGGGTCCAGTAGACTTAGGGATCTGCCAAGCAGTTGTGACTCACAACTATCCCTTAGCAATATAAAAGCGCTTGTCTTTTTCCATGAAATATTAAATCTGGCCTGAGAGAGGAACTCTGGATTTGTTAGGGTTTTTTTTCTCCTCTAGACTGAAAACAGCAGCAAAGACCGAAAGAGCTTACGTCCTGAGTGGGTCTGGCATTGTGGCCTTTTGCTCCAAATCGTTTGGAAACTAAGTAAGACAATCTTGGCAGAGAAAGTAGACACCAAAGTGTAAACGTGTTTTCTTTTCAGCGCTGCTTTGCTCCTTTGTGTTGTTTTACCCGTCCTGCCATTTTCTCTCCTGGTAGCTCCGCTTGCATGTCAGTGATTGCTAACTTTTATATGTGGCTTTAGGCTTCTCATCACTTGGCACACCCTTGTTCCTCTAATACAGTGTTTCTCAACCTGGGGAATTCTGGGAGTTGAAGTCCACCCATCTTCAAGTTGCCAAGGTTGAGAAACATTGTGCTAAAGACAGACTATATGTTTAATTGTGGTTCTTCCATGTTAAGCTTTATTAGGCTCACACACTTCAAATTGTTTGGGCTGGTTACCTTAATTAAAAGTGGAAACTGGAGTCTTTTTTTTTTTTTATCTAACCTTGGGAAAAGCTACTATCCTTTTATGCCCTATCCAGATTCTATGTGAAGTAGGACCTCTCCCCATTCAAGAACATCCTGTCCTGGTTTCTTTCATCTTTCATCCAAGGGAACAGCTATGCATAGGCAAAGGGAGTGGTGGGCTTCTGTTACGTGTTTGTGACAGATAACTCTGTGACGTACGGTGTAGCCTTATTTCAGCTATGGTATGACTGATTCGCCAAACGTACATTTGAAATCTAAACATGTTTATCTGGAAGTGAACATTATAGAAGTGGTGGGAGGGGCTTTTGTTTGAATAAAATTGTATTAACATCCTAACAGCAAAAAGAGAATGGACTCTTTATAGCTACAGTACAGACTCCTGGCAATTGTTACGTGTTCCAGGACTGAATCCTCTCATGAAAATGAAGAATCTAATGGGGCCATGGTATTACCTGGAATTTTAGGCCTTATTATTAGCATTTTAATAAAGGTGATATTAGTGTTTTAGCATGGCATCCATGCCTCCTTTTGAAGTTTAGGAAACCATGTTTTTCCTTTTAGCCAAAGCCATTTCCTTTGATGTGCACGACCTAGCCCTTTCAGGGACTATCAAACAATAGGGCTGAATTCTGAAGTCCTTGAGTATTGGAAGTGTTAAAGAAACAAGCCCAGGTGGGAAAGGAGGAGACGCAACATACAGTATTTTAAGAGTGCCTGTCTTTTCTCACGTCTAATCAATGTCTTTTATTGCTCACGTCCAATCAATGCCTTTTATTGTTTGATTTGTTGCTTTCAGAAGCGTCACATCTATCGAATGTATGTATCATTTGTTTCTGTACCATATATAAAGACTTGACTCCCCCTTAATAAAATGCTTTTCGCTTTGCCTGAAGTACTTGTGGTTTGCATTGTGGGGGGGGGGGGGGCA